CGTGGACGAAGACGCGGCGGTCGGCACGGCGGGAAGAAGAGACGGTGAAGAAGCGAGAAGGGAAAGAAAAACAGGAGTAGAGAGAAAGAACGAGAGGGAGAGACCGGTGATGGCTGCGATGATGACGGTCAGTGGTTGTGTATACCGGTTAAGCCGTTCAGTACAAGCCCGGCATCCGTCACGGCTAAACCTCAACCGTTCGGTTTCGATCCGCTATTCTATTCCAGCATCACGCGCGTGCGATCGAATTTCCTGTCCCTTTTACACGTTTACTATTCGTTAATCTGTTGTCAGGTTGTCACACAGGCACGCGTTTCATTTTTTCCCAAACTTGAATTTTTCAAGACGAGAAGGCGTCCGACCTTCTCGTCACTTGAAGAACCAATAATGAAATTATCTACTTATTCGCGTATTTAATGAGTGCGCAAAGTAATTTTAAGAAATCAGCTGTGATGCAAAATAATGCGCGTAAGCGGAATTAAACAGCGAACAATGGTTTCCTGATGAAGCGACGGGCTGTCCACGTCAGGATATTGTAGGGTTCAGTGTTACCGCAGAATTTTTTTACAGTTGAATCGTGCGTTTCTAATCTAACACGATGCGGTCAAACGATCGATAACTATTCGTTGCAACGCAACGCTGATGACCGAGCATCTCGAGGTCCATTAATCGATCCGTCCGGTCCTGACACAGGAATCGAATCTCATTCGAAACATCGGATCATCGTTTAAATTCGCACAGCTTTATCCTCCACGACGCGAGAAATCTTTCAAGTGCTTGATCGGTTCTGTCAGGATGAAGAGCTGAGCTTTCGGTGAATCAGTCCCGGTCCTCGCGCAACGCCGAAGGAATTCATCCTGCACCCTGATCCACGTCGTGAATCACGGTGAATCACGATGGTGGTTTCCCCGTGCGATTATGCCGTCGGGAACTCGTGGCTGTCGTTGTGTGGGGTACGAGATGAGTCACGAGGATACGTTGATTCGAAGTGAGCGCGGATGAAGTGATTACCAGGACTCCAGGACAGACCGTGGACTTCCAAATCCAGCGGACCAACCCGGTCCGAGTGCGATCCAGGTATCGCTGCAGTTTAAAAAAAATTTATCTCGATACGAATTGCAACTAACGGACATATACTTTTAGATTAGATCAAATAATTCATTTTTTCTAACTAATTACTTATATATACTGTGTACACTTATATAATTGTTTTCTATTAAACTAACAAAGTGCAAAAATTAATCTAATACTAACAATATGGCCGATATTCATACTTGATTCTTATATTTAAAATCATCTCAAGTCTTAAAATATTATAAACCAAACGTCACAGAACCATACTAGGATATTGAACGTCACATAAGACAGTCTTAAAACAAGAACTATGAATATCGATCTATATTTTGTAAATAATGGTGCTACCACTCAGCTTAACAGCTGAGATTGTTACAATTATAATTAATCTTGACGATATCAATGAGTCTTATTAATATCATGAACATTCACAAAATTACACCTAATGTCGTTAATAGACATCGAATTAAATTAGGTAACGATTCATTAAATGCGGCATTTATTCATCGTAATATTAAACAATTTTCGGTTGCGATTTTCAACTAACTAACTTGGTTTCTCCAACCAAAGTTGATCGAAACTCGCGACTATCCTTCTACTATCCTTCATCAATGTCCATGTCGAGTGTGCAAAGTCGTATTACGGGCAACCGCGATCGAGAGGCGTTAAAGCGTAAACGGCTGCTGTGATCTCTATGTAGTTGCTATGATCTATCTAGTGGTCGTTCAAATACCGTCACGATGCTGAACGTGACTTCGGACGGGACGGTAGCCGCGATATTCCCGGCTATCTCGGAGACCACCGCGTGTTAGGTACGTCGTCCGCAGTGTCGATGGCGCACGATTTCCAGTTATCCATTACCGTTGTCACACTTCCGGAATACTTGCTCAGCGTCCTCCGTCGCGTTCGTCATTCGACGTCTGAGTTACGATCGTCGCAACGACAGCAAATTTCTCCTTTTAGCACAAATAGAGCTTGTTTGCAAATACCTTCTGCATTGCTTGCCGTAAGTCTTCTTCATCGTCATCGCTGAAGGCAGACCTGTCCAATTTGAGCTCCAGAGCCAAAATATAAAGCTATCGACGCAAAAAAATTCAATGTGTTATGTACACATCTGACAATGAGTGATGTTTATCAACACTTTACAGTCTCCGAAATCTTATTCACGTTGAATTTTTTGGTCCGCAGTGTCGATGGCTTTGCGTTTTGACTCCGGAGCTCAAATTGAACTGGCCGAAGACTTCAATGAGCGATCGTCCAAGTAGACTTACACTTGGTTCACATTAGGTCTGTTTTCTGTAGCTGAAGTATATATTGTTGGAATTTAAAGTGAAATAGATACAGGGCGTCACCAAAATCCGGACAAATCGAACAATGTCTTCAAACAAAATGTTTTTAATGAAAAATTAAATATTACAAAAAATCCTTTTACATGGTATTTGGGGGATCCCTGTAGAGCACAATTATTCGATACATCTCCCATTAGCTTGAATAACGGCCTCTATCCTCGGAAGCGTTCGCATGCACGCTGTAATGTAGTGCTGTCTATGCCGACGAATGCTGTTTCAATAGCGATCCTTAATAGACGTCACATTCGGATGGCGAGACTTGTTTGTGATCCTTTCAACTACGTAGTAGTTCAAGGGATTTAAATCTGGGCAGTTGGGAGGTCAGAATGGGAGCCGAAGTGAGCAACTCGGCTTGTCCTGGCAGCCTCAGACATCATCGTATCTTTAATGTGTAAGATTTATATCCAAGGTCCACCTTGGCAATTCGACGTATTGTTGGCTCGCTTACACCAACAATCGATGCTAATTTTCGCAACGATTGCCCTGGGTCACCCAAAATCAGCGCTTGAGCCCTTTCAACGACTGCGGCGATTCTCGCGGTGCGTTCTTTCGAATGACTCTTTTTCGCTGGTATACTGGAACCTTCGTTGGACTATTCTAAAGCCATATTTTGCCACAACATCATAAACGGTTGATCTCGGATATCCAAAGAACCGAATTATTTCCGTTGCTGAGCCCCCAGCGAGAAGACTTCGATCATCTTCGATTATCTTCCGCACTTGGTTTCAACGTCGCGGCCATTTTGAGAATATGACTGTTTACTGACTTTAGAAGCATCAAGCTTTCTCGGACGCCAACAACAACCTCTGGTGGAGGCACAATATAGCGGAAAATTTAAATTGAAATTTGTCCAAATTTTGATAACGCATCCTGTATGTAGATTTGGTATTTGGCAGAAAAAAAAATTCTAGTGCAGTCTAATTCAAGAATAAAAAACAGATCTTTTAAATACATTCGGACATATCCCAAGTAAATCGTTAAAAAAATTGATGGTTCTGACTCTTCAATCCAATCTCGCATCAAACTCTATACCGACTTCCGAGGCGGTCGGTATCGCTTCCATAAGATCCTGCTAATTCTGTTCTTTCGCGTAAAGTCGGATCGAATCGTAGCCGGATCGAATCTGACCGGCATCGTCAGGACTTGGACCGGTACCGGCAATACAAGCGTGGCTCGGCGCGACGGAACCGTTCGTCTCCTCCTCGTATACGCTTTTATCAAACTGCCGGCGCTCCCCATTCCACGATTTCCACGTTCCTCGCTCGGCTTCCTCCGTGCAACGGGACGCCTAGACCTTGGATTATGGAAGCGCATCCTGTCGGCCCACCCACGTCCCACATGGCGCATCGCCGACAGGACATCTCTCATTCCTCCGCTACTTTGTATTAATGCAACGTACAGCAAAGTCGTACCTGCTCGTCTACACTGCTCCTGTATACGTCATATACAGCTCGTGCGTTGTTTATAGACAAAACATTCGATCGATGATCGTTCGATGCTCGCAATCGATTTGCCAGCCACTGATCGCGCTGATCGCAATGATCGCGTCTGTTGCCTTATCACGTACGCGCACGTATGTTTCTCGTCTGTTCCGATTTGCTCCAATTCGCGCACCATCATTGCTCCTCGACACATCGGTACTCCGATGCGTTACGATCACCATCGCGATCACCAGTGCGCATACGGAATCGATCGAAAACTCCTATGCCAAAGCGCGGATAATCGATGAAGATACGCAATGGTGCCCTAATGAAAAACCCATCATTTCGAAACTTGTAAAATCTTTCCCATAGCAACACTGGAACGCTGAAACACACACCGAATATTTTTACATCGCTCCGCGATGTAAACCATACCGCGCTTCTGTTACTTCCCCTAATCATTGTTCATTTCCTGAAGCGAGAACTGTTATGCCCGCTCATTAAACTTACCATCGCCGCTCGAACGTACCGGGAAAGACGTAAATTAAATTACACGAGGATTAAAAAAAGCACCGCGTGGAGAACTCAATTCACGTGGAAGGGCGTACGCGCCGTTGAGAAGCCGGCGAGATATTTTCCTGAATCAGTGCTAGCCGCGTTCGTTGCCGCGATTTTATTTTGTCGCGTTGATCATTCACCCGCGACGGTTAAAATAAAGTAACAACGATACGTATATATCGCACCACTGGCACAGAAGGCTGCCACGATATCAAGAGCGAGTAGACTTCGTTTCAAGAGAAAATCATAAAAGATTCTTATAAATTTGCTATAATGGAAAAAAATGATTTATATTTTTTTTTTTCTACATAAAATTAATATTATCTTACATGATTATCTCTGATGTATTTTAATAAACTATTCTTTTGTTATATAAGTTCTGCTTAAAATTTTAATTTAGTAGTTAATTGAAAAGATGAAAATGAAAGATTTGGAATTATCGTTTATTTATATTTTCCTCCAGTTGCCATAAATATATAAACATTTATACAGATTTAAACAAACTATAACAAAATTGACAAAATATTTTTATCAATTTTATATGTTGCATTTTTAATATTATATTACAAGAAAATTTCTGCAATTATCACGCTTTTCATTAACGCAAGTCGATGCTGTTGATGAATTAATTGCAGCGGAGCGATGCGAGGAACGCAATCGTGTTACAAAATCGATCTCTTTAATTCTCCAGTCTTCTTCCAGCGTATGAAGTTTCCTTCAGACATTTGTTTTTAACGCAAGACATGCGGCCAAACGGAACGTGAATAGGTCGCGTGAACTTGTTACGAACGTGAGAATCTTGAGATGCATTTGCTGTCGGATGAGAACGATTAAGTAGAAATGAGAGAAGACGAGTAACTATGATGACCGCTAGTCGTTACGGAATATTTCTTTGGTAGGCGACGTGCGTTGGGAATGCGACTATCACCGCGGAATGCTTTTCTCGAGGAACACGTATATGCGAAATAATCTTAATAAACAATGAAGATGTTCTTGCCTTTTACCATGAGATAAGGATTCGTATCGTTTTTACTGTATTTTGACCTCATTCGCCATATATACCATTACTACCATTACATTACAATTTATCGAGTTGCTCCGATAATCTATCGATTATTATTTAACAGTAGCTTACATTTATTGATCAATACACTTGTTGTACTTGTAATATGATTACGGTAGTTGTATTGTGTTCTATCACTACTAATCACTATGAAATACATAAAAGTCAATAAAAGATCAAAATGACTCTATTTTGATTCTCAATGTCAGTAAACAGTTAAATGTTGTAAATCATTAAAAAAATCATTATTTTAACTTTTATGACGTCAAAATCGTTTTAACTTTTTCTTGAATTCCTGGTGAAATTTTTCTCAGAATTTTTCATATAATTTTTCAGAATTTCTCTATAACTTTACAACTTTCTCACATTTTTTATACGAATTGGAACATTCCTCAGAAAATCTACATCTTTTCGTAGAATTTTTCATACATGTTAATAATGAAATATCGTATAAAAGTTTTAAGATTTTTAAGAATATATAATAAGTATAATTTCTGATAAAATGTTATAAAATCTAAAAAATTTAAAAATACTTTTTAAAAATTATGGGATTAGAGATTTCAGAATATTTCAGAATTTATTTATATGAAAAATTCTGAGAGAAGATGTAAACTTTCCGAATATTTCTGAGTATTTCTGAAAAATGTTCCAATTCACATAAAAATTATGAAAAAAATGTTCATTCACTATGGTTAGTATATTCCTTGGAATTTTTGTTCATTGCCAATATCAATTTGCGATGATTGTAGAGTGCCTTTTTTTTTATAACGATATTAAAAGCGCAATATATATAAAAAATCCAATCGAGATCATCTGTTTCGCGGTATTAACGCTTATATATATATATATATATATATATATATATATATATATATATATATATATATATATATATATATATATATATATATATATATATATATATATATATATATATATATATATATATATATATATATATATATATATATATATATATATGTATATATAAGAAGCATGAAAAATTACGTTAGACTTATAGGGTATACAGTGTGGTATACAGTCTTATATTTGTATATATAAGAAGCATGAAAAATTACGTTAGACTTATAGGGTATACAGTGTGGTATACAGTCTTTCAAATAGTCATGTACACATCTCACGCGTGATGTGGCACGTGCCTGGGAACTGGGAAGTCAACACAGGAGAGATCCTGGAGCATTACAAAATTCAGTCACGACCGTGAATGCTAATGGACCCGCACTTGACTGATTCCTTTTTAAATCCGACGTTAGTAAATATACGACTTGAGACCGTGTATAAAAATCGAGCGGTCGCGTGTGTTGGCACCGCTCTCGTCTCACGTTTCCAAATATTTTTTAATTAAACAAACGCACAGACGCGACTATATAAATCACGTGGTTTATTCATACACTCATATTCGTTTCGCTAACAACGGCAGATTACGACGGCAGGATTGAGATACTCATTTATGAGAAGCATAATTTTATGGTTGCGTTGTACATGCACTTCGTACAACATTATTCGAGCGTAACTATCCAGGTAGGCAAAAATGCCTAGCGAACCAGATATTCGATCATTATGAATATTAATTCGCGTTTCCTTCTGAAGCCCGTTTAACACGCGAGCTTTCAAGCGAACGCTTATTGCAGCTAATGGATAAATCCGCTATCGACAGAGTAGCTCTTCTACACGACTCGCGGACGGTCATGAGAAGATCGAATGAACACGATTTGAAATCCGCGATCACTGGGTCATCCGGCGCTTCTTCTTGCCCGTCCTTGCTACATGTTCTGCCTGAAGTGGCAGCGACCGCAGCTACCGGTGTAGTGAGAGAAGTCGCGGCCAGCGACAGTTCTATATTCTGCTTCTTGACCTTGTCCCAGAGCGGCCTCCGGCGCAAACACTGTCTCAAGCATGTTGAAGTAGACTTTGCACAACCCGATTTTACAACAGCCGCTTACATAGAAAAGCCGGATATTAATTCTAACACATGGTGGCGTGTACATGGTTCTTCTATTTAAATATAGCTGCTTAAACGAAAAAGAAACCGAATAACTTTACGTTAAGTAAACGTCAACTCGTTTGACTTTCTGTTAAATTAAAATTTTAAGTAATTCTAAGTAATTATCATTTGTAAATAATGTAACGACGTTATAGAATCGTGAAAACTATCTATAAAATCGGAAGTAAGTAAACAAGGTATACCGTAATAATATTTATTAATAACTAAACAATTTGACATACTTCAGTTCGTTAGGTACTTAAATATTTGTTGATCTGTTGAAGAAAGGCAAATTTTTACATTTTATAATTTATCTATGTACACACCGAGCGATTGGTTCTTATACTCATGAATCTATAAATAAGAACCAATCTCTCGAGTGAGTAGGCTGCATTCTGAAATCCATCGAAAAAAGAGTGCAATCTTTCTGTGACCGGCTGTATTGTGTAAAAACTTGGAGTACAAATGTAAATTCTGTAGTAGGAAAAGAAATATCCATTTGTCGGGACGTATCCAACTTGTGCATCTATTTTCTCTAGATATCGAGAAAGTTACCCAAGACGAACATCCGGGATTTTTATATTCGTAAAAGTTATGCAAGATGAGATGCGTCCGATAGAGTCGTATTCGAGACGCAATTCCTATTCATCCTGTTCCGATTTCAAGGAAGATACAAAGAATCGAATTTTATACAAGGAGGGGAATATATTCGTTTGAAAAATAGCCCAAAAAGAAGACACAGAAACAATAAAGATATGATATGGAATCATACGTATGGGAATAGGTATCTCAAGTCTTTTACATTCGTTGAATAGATTTGCGAGGAATATTCGAAAAAATGCGAGGAATATTCGAAACGTGTAGCATCGGTGAAGATAATTTCAATGATGATGACGAGACAGTTCCAAGACGATGGTATCCTCGATCGAGCATTTCGAAAGCGAGCGAAATGCTGCGTCGATGACCTGGAATGCTGGGCCAGAATTCGGTGACAAGTCGGTCCAGTCGGTATCTTTTTTGTTCCTGCCAATGTGTTTTAGTGTGCGTTCGATGCACCTGTCGCATCGTCGAGATACCATCTCGGATCGTTGCAAAACGATCGACTAGAAATCATGAATTCTTCGTACGATCCTTGGAACGTCCCAATAGTTTATAGGATGCACGTGCCGGTAATATATCTGCCGATCCATAGGCTTTATACAATTATAGCATTAAATCATAAAATTTAAATTAAACGACTTAGCCTAAGCTTTATATACATATAACTACAAAACCGTTTGATGCAGACGGGAAAACGATATTTATAGATTAAAATTGAAAGATATGAGATAAAAGTAAATCCAAAGCTTGTCTAATCTATTTTAAATTCTTCTATTCATATCAGATCTATGTTGAATCTGAATTTTAAGGTGGAACTTGCTAAATATAGAAAAACTCTTTTATTTCTGCTCTGAATTTATCAATTTAAATGTAAATTAGATTAAAAACTAGCAAACCTTTACTGATTTTGGATCAAATATTTGTACTGGATGTAGAATCTACTTTATCCTATCACTTTTATCTTCTTTTTTTCATCTCATCGAAAGCAAATACACATTGCGGAAATTTGATATAAGCACGCAGTTAATATTCCCGAGTATTCCATGAATTCCTCTCTCTAAGTAGTTATATTATACGAATTATAGTCATTTAGAAGATATGTAAGAAATTACGATATTTAGTTGCGTGATCTTCGCGATACGCCCGTAACGATTTAGTTATTTAGTTTAGTAGTTTCACTGACAATGTGAGAGAGAGAGAAAAAGCGCGCAGTTGTGAGATTAGATACGTCTCTGAAAGGGTTAATATGAGAAGCGTGCAACGGGAAAGTGAACTAGAAAGGAGCGCAGACGTGGCAGACAATAGACAATGGACGCGACGAAAGAGTGAGCGTAGATGCTCGCATGCTGCTGACAAGCACTTAATATATAGAATTACAAAATTTATATCTGTCTGGTGCAATCGACGTAGTAGAGCGCGGCTGTTGACAGCACCGGCGTGGCGCGGCTCGCGTGACTCCTCGAGATTTACACGTCCTCGGGGAGAAGCGAGCTGCTCTAAATTGACACGTGCCAATGACGATGATAAGTAGCCACCGAACGATAGGCCACCGTATTAACGAATTTCTTTTTGTTTTCAGGGATCAGGATGCGGTGGATCGGTTACGTGGCCACGATTCTCTGGTGGTCGGGCATCGCCAGGTCTCTCAGTACGCTGAATCGAGGTCACAGTCAGTAATATTCCTTTTGGTCATTTAAACGCGCCGCGCCGCGCCGCGCCGTTTCGGTATCTGCAGCGAATATACTATACTCCCTGTAGTACGTCTTTTTCGGTGCCGCTGCCGCGAACATCCACCCCGTCGTCCCCATCTCTCGTACTTTCGAGCAGCCAAATGCACCTGCCGTTCCTCCTCTTTTCTTACTTCTCCCTGTCTTCATTTCGCACCCGTCCTCCCTTTGAGGCATCCTTCTCCCGCCCGAAGATTCTCCATAAATGTATAACGCTTAATTGGAAGGAGAACTCGGTCAAGGTGCAGTCGGTCGTGCACGAGCGTGAGAAAAGAAAAGCGAAAGAAGGTGCTACTTTCTTTTTGTTTCGATGAATCCCCGACCGAAGGGGAGAAGCTTCTTTATCTATCATTTTTTTTCCCTGCTCTCAGATAATTGATCCGGGCGCAGATCAGCTATGAGCTATGCCAACAAAGACGCAGGGTTGGACGTGTCTAGACGTTCGTGTTGGAAGGAAATACTCCGAATCGAGTCCGACGCATTTTATATGCGACAATTTCGCAAATAGAATAATCGACATTAACTTATGACTTGCACAATTTGTAACGAGAGATCCACATCTGGCATCACAGCGAATGTCGAATATTAACGATCGATTCTCGAATAATGATTCGAGTCAACCCATTCAAAGGCAACCCGTGCAATAAAATCTTCTTTCCTAATGTGGACTCTTCCCCTTTATAACGTAATGCAGTCGCGATACAGGCTGACACGATCGTGTTTCTAGCGGTGAAAGCGACTGCGTGAAGCTTCTACGTCGCATCGTCGCGGTCGTAATTTACGTTACCCGAGTCTTACCATGACTCGGTTAATGACTCGGCCCAGGTCTACGTACTCCTTCCAGTTATTAAGTTTCATTTTTTTTTTTACACGATCTCTCACGCGTGCTTCGACAAGTGGTACACTTTCACCGAACTTGCCGGCGAGGTAAACCTCGTGTATAACATATGTGAGACAGTCTAATTGTCGAGCATGATATGACCCATCGTACTATACCGTGCGACATGATGACATCACGCAACGTCATCCTTTAGTATGCCCGTCAAGTTTAATACATGTAATCTCGTTACTCGGGGCAGGTTTCGCCCGATTTTTCGGAGGGCGTGCATAGAAACACCGGTCTCTCACGAAATTATAAGTTGTTAAATTCGCCAAGACAGTATGATCGACGTTAGCGTGCTTTCATCGCGCATTAACGTTACAGCGCTGTCCGACTTCGGACTCTGACGTGAGAAATGTATAATGTAATGGAGACGTGAGATTAAAGTCAGTTACGTTTAACGGAGAACGTACGTAGGAAATAAATGAGATATTCGTCTTTTGTCGGCTTGCGTTTCTTAATATACCGACGTATAGTCCAAGATTTCAAGACTCGAAAGCGCCGATCGTCGAAAGATGAGAACGCCTGAAATAGCCGATCTGTTTTCCATTTTGCGCAGGTTACAAAATTACTCCGAAACCCTGTAAAGTGCCCGGTTCGGACAGCAAGGAAGGCACGTGCATGTTTGTGTGGGAGTGTATCAAGTCCGAGGGGACGCACGTGGGTGTGTGCGTGGATACCTTCATGTTCGGCAGTTGCTGCGTTCACAACACGACGGTGAACACGATAGGCACGTTTTATCATCCTCATAATCATTATCAGCAGCACCAGCAGCAACACGACGGTACGACGAGTACGCTCAGGCCAGGTTTACTCCTGGCGGAGCCAACCGGGAACGAGACCATCAGATTGACGTCGACTTCCCTCTTGGGATTCTCCTCGACAGCGTCAACCACCGCGAAAACGAATCTCCATCACTTCTCGGGATCTCACGGCTCCGAAGGCTCGACCAGACCGATGAAACCATATTCGCACGGTATCGGGAGGCCTTTGCAGAAAAGGCCGCACGCCAAACCAACATCCGAGCACGAAGTCGACGTACTGCAGACCCCCGCAGTGTCCTCCGCGTCTACGGACACGTGGGCGGAAGGAAGACCGCAAGAAACGAAGAGACCAGGTCATCATCCGGGTCATTCTCATCATCACAAGACGAGGCCGGACGACGGAACGCCGAGTGACAATCCATCGTCCGTTCTAAGTCAGCCGGGTTTCAAAGACAAGCTGGAGACACACAACACTTTAATAGTGCGCTTGCCGGGGAAGGAACACGCCGATGATGAAGTCGTTGATTCAAGTGGCCTGAGCAAGCCCAACAAACAGGGCAAACCGGGTAAACCGGGCAATCAAAGGCCCTTTGAGTCGAGACCGGACGATGGGAAGACTGAAGATGTTGATCTCAGCGTCCAGGAAACGATAAATCGACCGAATGTCAATTCCGTCATTGAAAGCGTAAGGAAGGAAATTTATTATTATCACTCGTGATGACTCTATGATTATAACTCGTGATTCAGCGAGATAACTTTAAAAGGATTTCTTGTATAACATTCTTCTCTTGTCGTCGAGAGTTCACTTTCCTTGGATCAGTCAGGCACCTATTTTGAGAATTTATTTAAATTATAAAAGATACTTTGTCCATTTTGACTATTATAATAAAATTATATTAAGATAGAGGTGAAAAAAAAGACTAAAATTGTCTTATCTAGTTTCTGTAAAAATTATACGTTGCATTTATTAACAAATTAGCAATACTGGGATTAATATTTATGTGATGAAAATTTAATAAAAATATTCCTTTGACTGGATGCAGTTGGAAATATTTATATCGTAGCTGGCAAAGCTATTTTAGGCACGATATAAGCAGCGAGTTTAATGGAATATTGATTTTCCACCAGGAACCGGGGAAAGAGACGCATCCGGGCTTGAATTTCGTGCACACTGAACGGCCGCACTGGGCAACCAAGCCAGCACAGTCAAAACCATCGTCGACGGATTTCTCAAAGCCGTATTTTTCAATTAAAACGACCACTTATCGACCAATAAGCAGTCAACCCGATCATAGGCCGAATTTTATCTCGAGGCCCAACTGGGTATTATCCACGAAAACATCGACGACAACGACTGTCAGACCGACGTATGCCAGACAGCCTTCCACCAGGTATGCAACTAGTTTTTAAGTCGTCTGATTTTTAAATCGCAATATATATGTAAATCTGTCGTTCTCGGTTTCTCCTCTTAGTATATAGTTCCTTTTACATGTATTATATGACGCAAAATATTTATATTTATACATATAAAGCGTTACATCGTCATTATCACAAGTAAAGTACGTGTATTTAATACATCATTAGTATATATCAGTCGTATTTACGCCCATTGCATATCGAGCCCAACTTAAAATTTATCTTTCATTCTAGCGCAGCCGGATCCGTGCCACAAACCTCTCACTGGCAAGTGACTACAGAACCGGCATTCGTCACAAAACAGAAACCGTCATCGTTGTCCTCATCCTTACCAACATCATTCTCCTCGCTTTCATCGTCGTCGTCATCGTCTTCGTCAGCGTCTGCGTCATCCAAACCGATAACCGCAATTACTGTGCCGGAAACCGTACGAATTCCGTCTTTAGGTACGAGTTCTCATTTCTGGTCGAACAGCTGGACACCACCTAGGCCGTCCTTGAAACCTCACTGGACCGACAGTCCCAGCCTTCTTCAGAATGGCCCGGAAAACTTTCCTCCGCGACCGAGTCTAAAGCCAACCGAGTCGCAACAGGTACGAAGCCGTTTTCTTTTCTCGATAGGAATTGATTAATGCTGCCATAATTATTCTTTCCTCTCGTTCTCATGTTTAAATCATAAATACATAAAGTCGAAAGCGTATAGGCGGACTATATAAAATTCGTAAAAATTATTAAACGAAAGATTTCTCCCGACAATGGAAAACGTTAATATTTATTTATCCTATTTACACACATCTTCTGATACTTACTTATTAAAATTGATAAGTACGTTGTTGAAATTTGAGAAAAACAATGGGATCTTATCTATAACGTTGTTAACGTTAACAATTGATTTCCTGATGTTTTTCATTTTATAGAGCACCGAATATCAGAAGCCCTTGGGTTCGGCGCATTACATAACAACGTCCCACTTGGAGACTTCAACTAGGCCGCGGCCTACGAAGAAAACCACAATGCAAAGCACAACACCGTCCACATTGACGTCCTCCGCCAGCGGTACGACCAGTCCGACGAGCACGACGGTAACGACGATGACGACCACGAGCAGCACAACCAGCGCAAGCAGCACGAGTACCACGAGCGTCACTACGACGCAAGGATTGTCGACGACCACCGCGGTGACGGCAAGCGAGAAGGCAACGGGTTCGGTGATGACCGTCGCGGCCGCTGACGAGAGCAAGAACATGCAGTGCGGGGTGCCACCGTTATTTCCGCGGCCGGAAACGAGGATTGTCGGTGGCAAGGACGCGTCGTTCGGCCGATGGCCGTGGCAGGTATCCGTACGTAGGACCTCCTTCTTCGGTTTCTCGAGTACTCACCGTTGCGGCGGGGCGGTGCTCAACGAGAATTGGATCGCCACCGCGGGCCATTGCGTCGACGAGTGAGTACGCTACATTATTTCCATCGTCCTTGGGATCCTTCAATTACGACGTGCATCCGTTTCAGTTTGCTGACGTCGCAAATCCGGATACGAGTCGGCGAGTACGACTTCTCGTCGGTACAAGAGCGACTGCCCTACGTGGAACGTGGAGTCGCCAAGAAAGTCGTGCATCCCAAGTATAACTTCTTCACGTACGAGTACGACCTCGCGCTGGTGCGCCTCGAAAGTTCCTTGACGTTTGCCGCGCACATCTCGCCTATCTGCCTACCGGCCACGGATGATCTCCTGATCGGAGAGAACGCGACGGTCACTGGCTGGGGAAGATTAAGCGAGGGTGGAACGCTACCTTCTGTATTGCAGGAAGTAATTATCGTTTTGATAATTAAACCCTTTGGATTTACACATGTCTTTAGATTCCACCGACTCTTATTATTCTCTCTTTCAAGGTCTCCGTGCCGATAGTGAGCAATGACAGGTGCAAGTCAATGTTCTTGAGGGCCGGTAGACACGAATTCATACCGGACATTTTTCTTTGCGCCGGTTACGAGACTGGCGGGCAAGATTCGTGTCAGGTATGTGCATACTTAAGATTCGAAGAATATTTAAATCGAACTACTAGCTGTTCATGTATCAAATTTCCACTGAGAGACTTTTACGTTGTTGCATCACGCAGGGCGACTCCGGAGGACCTCTTCAGGTTCGCGGAAAGGATGGCAGGTACTTCCTCGCGGGTATCATATCCTGGGGCATCGGTTGCGCGGAGGCTAACTTACCGGGCGTCTGCACGCGGATATCCAAGTTCGTACCGTGGATTTTGAAGAACGTCACCTGATGTACTCGACGGTGAACGCAAAGAGATGACATAAGGCGACTTTCGAACTCGGACGAAATTTATCGCGCAAATAAGCGATTCGCAGTGTCGTCTCGTGCGAATATCAAAAGACATTATCCTAGAATTTTCACGCGATTGAAAATACGACTACTATATCGTTTGCATTTATTTATTTGCATTTACACTGCCACTCACGGAATAAAGATCCTGGTTGTTATATATATAAAAAATATGTACCCGGCACTAAAAGATGTGAAATAAGATCATCGTCGGGAGTTATCGAATATACATATATATTAGTGACGTATGTGAAATCTCGTGCATTGTAGCAGCACACTGAACTGTATTTATACATAAAAGTACGTAAGGAAATAATATATTTGCTAGATTAAGGCTAAATAAACAAGGGAAGTCTCAATTGTGTAATGAAAAGATCAAAGGAATAGTCCGATAGATTTCGAAGATACATCGTTATCATTCTTGCCACTTCGATTCGAATATGAAATACACAAACAATACACAAACACACACACACTCACGCGCGTATATAGTGAAAAAAAAATTACAAAAGAATCGTAAATTTATAAATTACATAATCGATCTATTCTATTGTTGCAAAGTCAATTTTAAAGCTAGATACTGTCGATTTTGTAACTTAGACAAAAGAGCTAAAGAGAATCAGGGAAAAGTATGAATTCCTTTCATAATAATTGCGATTTCAATTCTCATAATTTTCGAAACAAACGTATAAGTATCTGCTTTTATTGATTAGCAAGATGTATAGAAAGTTTGCCTTTCGCTCTGTAGCGTGAGACAGCTTGAAATATTCTTCCAAATGCTCAATCCTACACATTTCAAGTTATGCTCATTGCTACTTTTTTATCTTTAATATTTCTTTATTTACAAATAGGAATTTTTGTACAGAGCACAATATTAATTGCGTGTACTTGATAATAATTGTGTGCGAGCTAATAGGAGAAGTCCACATTATGGAATTATTTATAAGTGTCGTCAAATAAACGAGTGTTTATTTAAACCTTAGATCTAAATCATATCCCTACAATATTCTCGAATTAAGCGGATCGTCCACTCGTCCGGCGATTAAACTCACTGAAGTCTCGGTGTCGACGATGAAATAAAGGAAGGGATGCAAAGCTGTAAAGGGTTCGGGCCCAGCTCTTTCGAATAGACCATTACCTAAAAAGAATTCATAATTATTTTACAAAGAATTATTTTAATCATAGAAAATATTAAAAATGTTTTTTAATATTTAATATTTTTAATATTTTTTGTAATATGCACGTTACATTTTATAAAAGATAAAAATCACGTACTTTCCAAAGCTATAATAATATTCAGTAAAAGTAAATTCACAAAGAGAATATTTACACAGTTTAATTTGTGTCAATTACAGAGTTGAAAAATCTTGCAAATTTTGATGTGCGCAAAAATGTAGCAGTTTAGCCACGCATAATACAAAAGCTAATACTTCGTGCTATTTTACGTAGTGCAGAGGAATTAGAAAGACGTTTCAAATTACGATGGAAAAATTAACAAGAGGTTTGGAGTTAATGTGTTTAGCAAGTTTTTGCAAGGAATCAAGGTTGTTTTTTGCGCATTAGAAGAAAAACTGTATATATGATGTTATAATTCTTCTCATGATAGCAAGATTCTTTTTAAAGCACTTGCAGAACTTCTACGTAGCTTTAGGATTTAGACCTAGACAGAAAAATAGAAAGTAGAAAAGCGGCAACCAATTAGAACTCATGCTAGTAATCGCTTGTTTCGGCATTTTGCTTATTAACAGCGCAATTTTTGATTGGCTTCTGCTTTTCTGCTTTCTGCCTTTCTATCAAGATCTGAATCTACCCTAAAAATGATCTTATACATATTTTCTTTAAAATCGAATGAAAATTGTTGATAATAATTCGCGTTTCAGAAAGTGCCATTTTAATTTAAACAGCATTTTAATATCTAATTTCTTAACAAACTGGCAGACGTAATGCATTGCAGATTGACGCAGGTCAATCCTTAGATTTCTAGATGTTCAGTTCATTGACTTTCAATGCACGCGTCCTTCCTTTCACTGAGTTGACAAAACTTCTTACCGTTGTATTTTTACAACAGTTAGTTTTACACGAAAGAAAAGAACGTAATGTCACAAACAACGGAGATAAGTATCTAGTGCAGTAAAAAGAATATTTTAATTTTTTTAATGGCTATTATTATCAGCTTGATAAAAGGTTTTATTTAATTGTCATTTTAACTATATGTCAAGCAAAGAATCCCGTTAAAGAACTGAATAAATAGTTAAATGATGTTACATAGAAAATTGCAATTCTGAAAATAAATCATAATAATCTCTTGTTTTCTAAATATTTGATCACTTTATCAATTTACAATTCATATTTATTTAAAAATAAATATATACGTGACAAAAGTAACCGAAAAAATAATTTCATGGAAAACTGCAACGCCACAATGATTCAGGAATCCTCGGTGAATGTAAAAAGTGATGGCGCAAGGTCTTTTATTGACTTCCTTTACGGACTTGAGCAGGATATCAGCAATTAAATTCAGTGAACTGAACAACAATACTGAGAATATTTCCAACAGTAATCGATAGTTTTGCTTGAAGCTTCGCCTAGTGGCGTGAAAATAAATATTGCCTAGCTATTCGTCCTCGGAACTCATATTTTCGCAGATACGGTCCATTTACATCTCGCGACTGCATCATAATTTTTCAAGATTAAATCCTATAAATTACATAGAATTCATAGAAATAGATACGTTTTTAAAAAAACGTTTAGCTGAATTATCTGCTGAATTAACTTGTAATTTAACAATGCATTGAGGAGATAATGACTAATACTCGCGTAATTATCGTAAAGATGTAATTTAGCGAGAGACATTCGTTCCCGATAATTTCTCAATCTTAAACGAGGACAACGTTTTCGAATAATTTTGAAAATCTTTGATAATTTTGACAGTATTTTCGAAGAAACGGTCATTAACGACACAGTCGATGTTAAGTAATGAAGATGTAGCGGAACGTGAGAAAAAGCAACGACTGAACAAGCGGAAGCGAAAAAGAGAGAAAAGAAAGTGAAGAAACGACTGACAATGAGTGGCAAGCAGTAGTAATAGCTAAATAGCCGGCCGTCGTTAGACGTGTGTTCACTACGCGTAGACGGATACATTGTCGTCGCCGTCGTTTACAAATTATGTGCGCAAATTATGTTTCTGGAGGATACTCGTGCCGTACGCGTGAAACTTTGTAATTTCACTCGTTAATGCCGGATATTGCGTCAACGTAATTATTTCTTCGAACATTATCTCCGACACGTCGCTATTCCGCCGTCCGCCTTGCTGTTTGTTTCTTTCTTCCACGACAAATTAAATCACCTAAATGCCAATAACATCTGATTAACCGAGCGCTCGAGACGTATCGGAACGCTCACCAATTTCGAATGCTACCTAAGATGATTTAATTCTAGAGAATCAAGTTGAGTTACTCGTATCAAGTTGTCAGGCGATAAATACAATCGCGTGAAGTAGCGTCGAGAATGGAAAACGTGGCGAAGTAATGAATAATAATAAGAAGCAATGTGTAAAATATATATCTGATAATGTTAAATGTATGAAAAATGAAAAATTAAAATTAATTCGTGCATTTTTATCGATAAACGGACACTCGGATGTTTGATTCGTACTGACAGTGCTATATTATTAGATTTAAAGACAGAAGGAAGCAATTTACAAGCGAAGCGAAAAAAAGGGTAAAATATTGTATATATTTAAGAAATGAAGGAATACTACAAATGCTAATGATTATGATTAATGTTACACGTAACGCGCAAAATTGTATAAATTGGACTCTTAAATTCAGGATGTCCGCATTAAAGAGCAAGGAATGCAATTACACGCGTGGAAACGATTACCGTTACGGGATAATTGAAAGGAGAGTGCGATAGTGCATGAAAAGCGTAAGAGAGTAAAAAGAACCTGGCGGTAGATATCGATAATAGTCCCTTCGAGGTGGAACGACATTAGACGACTCACGAGAATGGGTCCGGTCGGGTTTCATATAATTCCTTATATTGACCCCTATACTTTGTTGCACGTCTCTAGCGTATACACCGAGATCGGATGTCATGGGCGATAAATCGGCTACTCTCGGCTCGAACACATCCAGGATGCCCAGCTACGAAGGAAACAGGTAAATGAAGGAAAATCTTCGAGAGATTACGCAAATCTCGACGCAAATATCGAGGCAAATATACATCAGTCACGCATAGGTGTCGATAATAATCTTGATTTATCCTTCCTCAATCTCAACCTTCTCTACTTACGAAACGTTAAAAAAAAATGTCTTGGGAAATTCATTTGAAATAATTCAGAACGAGTAAATGAAGTAAGATTGTAATTTATAATCACAGATGACGTTAAATAATTATTTCAGGTATTTATGTGAACTTCTCATTATTCGTGGATCCTTGAGATAAAAGTCTTTAAAAATGAAAAACTGTATAAACTGTAGAGAATTACTTGACACCTTCATGCGCGGTTGACTGTAAATCCGGAATGTATTTTTCTATTCGGTATCTACATTTGGCATTGGTAGGACATTGACGTCAAAGAGGACGTGTTATTCGCTTACCCTTTGCAAAAATGACGTCAATGTGACGAAACCACGCAGCATGAACGAAGGTATAGTGGCCCTGACCCAAGTAGGCTGTAATCGCTTCCTCAACAATCTCAATGACTTTCCGCTAAGATCCCTCGCCAGACGAAGCGTGTCCGTTTTATCCGTCGGCATGAAAAGTATAATGTTGTATCGGGGATCCTTGATATTAGAAAAGAAAATAAGAGATTCTTTACTCACTTGTACTTGAATATTACTTATTTTAGAAAAATTTATTTATTATTTGTCTAATTTCTAAAATCCAACATTGACTATTTATTTTAAGCCAAGACTATTTATTTTAAATCCAAGACTATTTATTTTAAGCTAGTAAAGACTAGAATAAAGTTTAACACAGATTGTAGGATTGCGCAACTCTCATTTTTAAGAATTGGAAAAGTTTTAAGTTAAACATTAACAAATCAAGTTTAAAATAATTCTCTCAAGTTTAGAAAAGATGAATTAATAAATTATATTGAACTTTCATACAGACTTACGTCTAAAGGAAATTCAAGAGCGACAGCTTGCAACGATGGGAAATACGCGAAAGGCAATACGGCAATGTATCTCGAAGCCGATACCGAGGAAACGTCGCAACCGTTCACCAAAAACGACATCTCCGCTGATGAATCTCCGATGGAGGATTCACTAGGGTTTACTGTATTATACGACTTCCAAATTTCTAGATTTTGCATCCAAATACCTTCGTCTGAAAAACAGGAAATCGAATTCCATCAGCATTATTTAGCATTTTCTATTTAGAAAAAGAATTCTTTCTTAATCTCATATAAATGCATGTAATTTTCACTTTTTCCACAAAACATTCTAACAAAACATTTGATATTCATAATTTGATATTCGTAATTGCATAGTTTGTGTAGAGAGAGAGAGAGAAGTATTATAACTACATAAATAATTACTACATAAATCATTTATTATTGGAGAGAGGAGAGAGAGAGGAATTTTCCTGAATAAATAATTTATTATTAGAATTTTCCTACTTAAGAAGATTTAACTCGTAACTTTCGATTCGTAACACGAGCGACTTTTTCACGAGCGATTTATTCGAAAAAGATATTCATTAACTGAACGTACCTGGATAGCTAGAGAAATATCCGCGCAGGCTTCTCGTTTTGCGTTTACGAAGATTCGGCGATCTATCGTGTGACTCATCTTTAACGGTATTGCTGTTAATTATGCCATCTATCAAGTTAATTACATCTTTCTTCTTTCGATTCGAAATCATATTTTCGTCCACAAGAGATACAGTCGTTTCATTATCTATAGAACCCATCATAGAATTCGCGATCGTGACGTTATTTCCAGCAAGATTGTTCGCGTTTGTTGTTGAGACAGGCGGTATCACGGTCGTTACAGCATCGTCAATATTGATCATAGTCGTCATTGTGAGGTCATTTGCAGCGATCATTCCTAGAGTATTCCCGACCGGAGTATCTGCCGATGTCTCGGTATTCGATTGCAAATTAACGTCGTTCACCATCATCGTTTCGGTAACGGGACTCGAGATAGTCACGTTCGCGCTATTCAACTTTACTGGTACCACAGTAGTTAACGAATTCATGGTAACGGTACTCAAAGTCTCATTGGGAATAGTTGTATTAGCGGGCATCATATTGATGACGACTGAGCTGGCGGCTACCAATGCGTCGGTATTTGGATCCGTGACGATTGTAGTCGGCGAGTCCGAACTCAACATATTTGTTGTCATTGGTACCTCGGTATTCGTAGTTGAAACATCAGTACTCATCGATACCGTCACGCCAGCATCAGTTGCAGCTGCTGTTGTCGTTCCTGCGCCTGTCGATGGTTGAACGCTCTCGTTAGGAACGCTAGCACTCGTTGCACTATCGCCAACGGTGACTGTTGGGGAAGTTTGCTGACCCTGATTGTCCGCGACGGTGACTACATTTGTAGTTGGAATCATTTGACTGTCTGTGTTTACTATCGGAGTAATCGTATTCGGCGAACCCACGACAGTTTCCGCACCAGCGGATGGAGTCGGCTGAATACTTTCGCCGGAAGTAACCGCCGTTAAGGAATTTATCGATTGCGTCGGCGATGTATTCTGGACAATTGTTCCGGTGCTGGTGACCGGAGCCAATGTCGATTGTACATCGGTTGCACCCGTCGATGCCATCGTGACAGTTTGCTGAGTAACGCCCGCTGCGGTCGATGGAACGACTGTTGTTTCCGCACCAGCCGGAGGAAGCGTCGTGATTGCACCCGTTGATGTTGTCGTTGTCATGTCCGGCACATTCTCAGTATTTGCCATCTCTGTTGATGGCATGCTTGAACCGATCGTGGATGTCGGAAGTTCAGTTATACCTGATGAGTCTTCCATGCTAACGGTAACGTTCGCTTCTTGCTCAATACTCGACAAATCGAAGCCATAAAACCTCAGAATGTCTTCATACTCAGAACGAAGTTTAGTATTTTCTCTGCTTAGCGTCAAACCACCCAGGAAACCGTCGGCGTTAAGGTAACTCTTGAAATTAACATCAATATAAAAAATTTAATGCGTATAATTCTCTTATTATTTATAATACTCTAATCTCATTTATAACAATTATCAATTTTTTTTTAATATCAGGCTGCTCCTCGCTCTAATAAAGTAAACTGCAATGTTCACAAAACATCTAATAATCTGGACACGGAAATAATTCACTTAGCTTCTATATAGTTATCAATTTCGTTTCTCAAAGAGATGAATATTAACATTTAATTTTATTTAACATTTAATAACAAAAGTTCAGAAACAGTATATCAAATCATACATTTAGAGCAATATATATCAAATACATCAAATTTGTATGAGACGTGATAGAAAGAGTCTAAAAAAATGTCTAAAAGATACCAGAGAAATATCTTTCGAATGTCTTTCGAAGTCACCTAAGTATTGATCATGTTCGTGTTGCTTGCACTTTCTGCACCTTCGCTTTCTCTCTCTTCAACTACCCGAATATATTGTATTTATTTTAAATGTAAAAATTTTTATTTCAAACAACGTCAACAGATCTATATATCTTACTCGTAATCGTCGGTGAATATCCCTGAAACCGATCCTAGTAACATCCCGGTTGGCTGGTAGGCCTATGGCCTCGGCTATTTGTTGACTTCCTCTACCCGCGGATCCTTCGTAGAGCGCCGCTAGTACGAAGGCAACCCCCGTTGGCGAGAACGCGACGTTTCCACGTGTCAAATATTGCTGAAGGATCCTCACCCCGAGCTCGTTGACGACATCGGTGATCACGTCAACTGGACGCTCCGTGTCCGCGCGATACCAAGGATGATCGTACCTGTAAGCGAACGCGGACGATACTGCTGCAACATAACATCAGTGGGAAACTTTAAAATTCATAACATTGCGTGATTTAACGCGTTAGTACATGTATCATTAGTTTCTCTAAATTGAAGTCTTCCCACGAATAACACTGCCAGTTTCTTCACGAAATGCAATCATATTTTAACATGAATCTTCTGGAAATTCGCAATACAATTCTACCTTTACTCTCTCTCCTTAATAATTCATATTCGAAAAAAAAAAAATAGAAATATTTTTATTTATCCGTTATTTATTTGTTTCGCTTTCGTTACGCGTAGGAGAGGCTTCAATTTTGCAAGCTCGTGAGAATCGTCTTGCCGGATTAATCCTCTAATTCAAATCGCAAAGTAATCGAAACGGCCTTACGTACGCTGCAATATTACAATCAGGTGCAATGGCTTTCCCATTGTTTCCGCTGCTTCCTTCTCGATGTTCCGATCGTTACGTCGAGCTGGAGACGGAGTCCGCGACGAGATCCAGCCGGTTCTACTATTAGGATTAGCCTTAGTCGTCCGCGCTCTACGTCGGGACTGGCTCACGTCGGAACGCGCGGATCAGATACACTAGGCTAACCGCCTAGCTCGTCGGGGCTCGTGGTTCGATTAAGACCCGCTCAAGGGGCCCGTCCGACTTCCGAGGCGCGCGAGGCCCGCTCAAGGCCCGCTCTTGAGGGGGCCCGTCCGAAGACCGCCAATTACTACCGCGACTTCTTAAGTGGCTAAGGTCGTAATCCCCGTTAAATTGCGCACATAGCTTCCCTCCAAGCCGTCAATTCCTTTTCCTGCCGCTCTTCGTCGCTATTCTTTTAGAGGCTTCTATCTCCCAACGTTTCGACAAGAAGGGGATCTTAAGTGTGTCGCTGCATCATCTCTGCTTACGTTTATGATCTTGAGTACCATTGCGGAACGTGAAATATGTGCGTGTGCGTGCTCTATTCACAACCCAATGTGACAAAGGTAGTACGAGTTCATTGAAGTAAGTACATATCAGTGATTGGTCGAAAGATATGTGACGTAAATAAATTTCTTCAGGATTCATATTATTTGGTCATACGATTATATTTTTTTATATTGTTCATGTAAAATTCAAACATTGTTGATTGAAATAAAAAAAAAACATAAAGAAATGTTACTCGCGAGAAATTAATTGCTTTATATTTAATTAAACAATTAATTATAATTAATATAAATTAAAAATGATATATCAAGCTTCAAAATTAAATTAATTAATAAAAATCGGTTACAATTAAAAACGGGTTATAATAAAAAATAGGTATGTCTCGCTTTCGGGTGTGACGAAATGTTTCTTATACTATTTCGCACGTCACTGGTACACGGATTGACTCCATTCGTAATACACTAATCGAACGAGCCGAAAATTCCTCTCTCCGTCGATCGGTCGAGCGATCGCACGTCTATATCTGTGCCGACTACAAATCTTCGAAAATATGCGGATATTATCGCGTATGATAACGGTAGTGGCGATCGGCGGCGGCCATACGAAGGAATATAGTGAAGGCGCGGCGAGGATCTGCTTTCGACTGATTCAAGTGGGAGGATCTCCGCGAATGAGACATTACGTAATGTCGTGGTGACTTTTACCGCGCGTTGGAGACGGCTGCTGAATGCGCAATCCAGAATCCAGGATCTGACACGATACGCGAGCCAACAATGGAACAACAAGGATCATTATCCTGCGCACGCCAAGCACAATGTCTTCGCGTGCGTTCTTTCTCATCCTCTTTCTTTTCATTACATCCCGATTTCGCTCGCAAAACGGATTATTATCGGCACCGAACGGAGTTTGACGCAGGTATCATCGCGTACTACATCCTCATCTGCACGGAAAGAACGATTTTGTTGAAGTATCTAAAAATATAATCAGATACAAATCTGAAAATAATTTTGTTTTACCATTAAAATAATTATGTAGGAAACTCAAGCATAATGAACAATGCTGCAAAAAATTTCGACACTCTAGCAATCAGTTTGAATGTACTACATAATTATTTTAATAACCCAACTTTATGTTCAGATCTCTATAACTAGCTTTTAGATATTTCAGTAAAAATCGTTCTCGTGTATCCTTACTCACGATATTCACCGAACGTTTTTAAACGCACACGTCGGACCGGAACAATCCCAAGGTAATAAACTTGACGATGATTGATGTGTAATTCGTTCAAGTCACTTTTCAACTGTCCGTTTACGATCGATAAAAAATAGACTCGTCTCAATTTGAAAATCGTACAATAAAGGAAACTCATCTACTATTTTTAGGATTTTTTATTTGTATTGTAGAATGTTATTTAAGGCAGTAATTCACACGAAACTTATAACGCTTAACGTGATCTTTAATAATTATTTTTAATATAATGACAAAAAATAGTCTTATTTTTAAAAAATCTTATTTTTAAAAGAATAAATTTTTTCAGTTCTACACTGCGTAATTACATATTAAATAATGAATTTTGCCTCAAAGATAAAACTTGTACTAAGCGTAAAAGCATATATTTTATCATATTATTTCAATTTGCAAAGATCTTTCTAAAATTTACTTTAACTGTAAAATACAGCTATACAACTGTAAAATAGGTAACTGTAAAAGAAAACTTCTGTGCCAGAAAACCGTGTCACCTAAGTACATAATTTACAATAAAATAATCGGTACATGTAGCTCGAGGAGTCGCTCTATACTTAAGCGAGAATGGTCCCTGTAATTAACACTAGATATAAGCAACGATAAAGTCTAATTGCGCATGCAGATGTTCTAGCCGTGAAGCTATTTCACGAGAAGTAGAAACGTATTTAATCTATCATCTATCCTCGGCTCTGTCCGATTCAAGAGATAAAAGGCTGAATCAATTTACGCCGCTTCGACACTTGCCGCTTATGACAGCAAAACTCGCAGCACAGAAGAAATATCGATCCAGTCACGCCTGAAAAGAGCACAGTGAGGAGTCGCTTTTACTCCCACGAGGTGTTATTACTCCCCGAACGGCGGTATCGCACGCAAAAAAACACGTTACCCATGAAAAGCACGAAAAATATGCCCTGCATATCCGTGACGTTTACTTTGCGCTCTTCCACGACCTGGTTGGCGAAACTGTCCGAGCATTTGTCTTTCACCGGTATTTGCTCCGCTATCCACTTATTCATTAATCCAGACTCGTGCATGCGGTGCAACCTAAATGACGAACTTATTCATTTACTCAGTTAATAATTGGTTTTGGCAAAATTATAGATATGGATGGGATCGTTACTGAATTAATTACGACAGTCATAAAGTGACGATTTATCGATAACAAAGATAAAACTTTATAATAAACTCAACAGAGTGCAATTTACCATATCATTTAAAAAATTGATAAAAATTACGTTGGAAAAATTGATAATCATAAATTACTACACAGTGTCAATAGTAATTATTTTACCGTTGTGAGATAATTAATGTATAATAAAACAAATTAATTAGCTTACTCAGCGTTGATGATTTTTATGTAAGGACTATCCTTTGCGATAATCATCGCTATGGGCTCGTCCATAAATTCATCAGTGCTCAAAGAAAAGGCGCATCCCTTAGTTAATAACAGGTCACTTCTCATCAAGAATCTGCTCGGGCAATGCATCATTATCGTCATTCTTATCGGACAGACTAATTTATTCTATATGTTCGGTACGTATATAGGATGAAATATTTAAAAGATCATATCTCCATTTATCACGAAAATAATTATAGCGTTTTACAACATATAAGTTAAAGATGCAGGGATATTTATTTTATCAGATTTTACGCAACGTTTTCGGAAGAAAGAAGTTTATGTAAATTTATAAACAACATATTTATTAAAAATTATCTTTTTTTTGTATATGTTATGACATTACCTCAATGTGCTTCTCCAATCAATTAACACGTGCTTGCCCATCTTTATCTGCTCAATCATATCCGCTTCTTGTGTCGCGTTATGAATTATAGCCCGCTCCAAAAGAATATGATACTTTTCTTCTTCGGCATTCTTTAGATATTCCTCTAAAAAGCTGCCATTAGGAAAGCCCCAAGTTAATTTGTTTTTATGAGCAATAAGATCATTCACGGTCAAGATGGCAATATCTGTATTTGGGAATGTTAGGAACGCGACCAGACTTCCGGAATAGGTTGCTACTAAGACCATCACAACCAACCACCAGACACCAACCAACAGGCGAGCGCTATCGGAATGGGGTAAGTACATTCCCCCTAAAATCATTCACCTTTGTATGTTTGTTCAGAATGGAAAATACGATTTTGTTTTTATATAAAAATAAGTGTAAAATGAAACAATTTTTCTTCAACAAAAAACCTTAGAAAATTAGTAATTTGAAAAAATAAAATATTCTAAAATAATAATAAAGAAATATAAAAATAAAAATGACGGATATGTGAAAAAAATATGTTTTAATCTGGGTTACACCTTACACGCGAAATAAAAGTAGCGCTTCCAGAAACAAGCGGATGCTACCTTGCTGAAGAAGAGCCCCATAGATGTACCATACGCATTGCCAGCAGGAGTTGAGCCCCGATGTCTTCGTACTGCTTGGACTGTACTTGTGAATCAGGTACAATATCGGGCCCATTATAATAATGGATGCTGCCACGCAGGCCCACGTCTACAAGCAAAACTAGCCCGTTTGAAGGCGTTGCAACAAATACATTATAAAGATACAATGTCGCTCTATCATACATACATATGCAATATAATGCATAATATAAACTTCAATTTTTAGAAACGTAAAATTGCTGCGGCGTAGAGATGCATATTTTTACCTCTTTGGTAAAGGGCGCGGTGAACAATAACGCTCTAGAAAGTTGGCCCGGTTTTGAAGTTAGGAAGCTATATGTCTGTATAAAAATCGGCAAGGTAAAATTGATCTGTTTTTTTCCGTAGTCATTCACGGTGTACGCGCAGGCTGCAAGAAGGACCTTTTTCTCCAGAATCATATCTATTATCTGCGATGGCATTTCTCTCGTTGTCGACGTTAACACCTAACATTTGAAACACTCGTAATAGAACATCGAGAAGTTATCGAGAAATTAAATTAAATGCCGTGCACCAATTGAATGAGCTTTAGAACGAAGATCATAAAATAAAGTTTTATGTAATTTATAGTTCAAATAATAATTAGACTTTTTATTTTGTAAAGAAATAAATGCTTTATTCACGTTTACGAACATTCGATGAAACTTAAACTTTGTTTTACCACATTGGCTACAGTAGCGTTACGAGTGAACTTGGTCTGATTGATCGCCGGGCTGAGCACATTATAGGTAAAGTTCAATTTTTTCCCTAGATATTTCACAACGTCAAAGAGGAGTCCTCCGTATTCCTTTTCGCCAGAATTAGTCAACGAGATAGTTTGCCACGGCGGATTCTATATAAAGAAAATGATTGTCCCAACGAGCACAATTACGCAGAGAATTGAAAACATCTTAACTTACGTGATACGTAGCGATTGGTATTCTGATCCCTCGGAAACCGTGCACTACGTGTGGAAAAAGAACGTCTGTAAAATTCGCACCTAGGACGGGTATCCACGTTCCCGAGTCTATCAAGTGCGCGACATTCTTGCCGCGAACGAAGAAGTTGCCCCATGTTATGGCCGAAGCGAACCGCCAAAACAGACATTTGCCACAAACGCCGCTCGTAGAAAAAGTATCCTCGATAAGCTGTATCTATAGAAAATAGAATATATGTGTAGAACTTCTGTCAAAAAAAAATGGTATAAATACGATTTCTCGCGAGAATTAACGAGCCATTTCTCAGAAACAAAATTTCTTAAACCTAATGTCTAAGAACACTACAAGTTTAGTCCAAAAGAAACAAAGAAATTTAATTTTTAAAATCTGAGAAATTTCATCAATCTATATTTATATGTAAAAAAATAATCATGTGTAGATTGTCAGGAAAACTACAGTTATGAGATATCATTTCTATACCATCAATTCGAATACTGAACCAAAGATACGAACTTTAATACTTTTGAGAATTTCCTGACGTCTTTCCTGCTTATTTAATCGGATGAGTTCGAACTCCTCCTCGGTCATATGACTGTATAATTCTATTTCAGTCATCAACGACATTTTTAAAGCGTTAGCCAAAGTCGAAACCAACTCCTGGATATAACATTTTAAACTGACCTAAAAAAATTCCCTTTTTCTCCAAAATACATAACAAAAGTGAGAAACGAAGAGAGAGAACGTAAAAGAGAATATAAAATATTTAAAAAGTTTTTATAAAATATTTTACAAAAAGATGATCAAAAAATAACTTTTATAATAAAATTTGCATTAATTAATCTTATTTGATTATTTAAATTTTGAGCTAATCTCACGTAGTTAATGTTTAAACGTATAATTAAAAAAGAATAATTAATAAATTACATTGCAATATGTATCGCTGTCCGTCATATTGTAAATGAAAGCTACATTGCTGCCTTCCGTCAATAAATCGATGAAACTGGTAATATTTGTAGAGTTTCGTACTACACTATCAGTGATGATATATAGCCACTGACTGTCGGGTAGCGCCATATTTAAAGACTTTGCCTAAATATACAATTAATCAAATTTACAATTAATGAAAATCAAAATAGAAGTTGTGTTCATAATTAGCAAGTTTCCTCGCATTTAACGTAAAGCACGTTTGCACATTTTCAAGATTTATATTATAAATCGTGGACAATTTTTTTCTTTTGGAACTATTATTTTATTCTAACTTTGAATTAGTGCGAAATATAAACAAAGAAATTTCTATTTATCTTACAACTTCCATAACATCAGCCGCTGTGTCTATCGTGACGATTACCAGAAAGCATTTTCCCAATTGTTCCACGTGGAAACTCTCAAGCATATTTTTTATATAGTACCTTCTATTACGTTCAGAATTAGCGTGCTTAAAAGCAAATAATGCTCTGGAGACCAAGTTAAATTTTTTGTTGGGCAACGAGATCGACAAGGCTTTTGTGACTCTGCCGATCGTGTCCCTATCTATAAGTTGTCATAAATAAAATGTATTTTCATGAGTTGTTTTCGTATTTTATATTAGCAAAGATGCCGAGAAGTAATGTAAAGAAAGATTAAAATGGGATAGAAAGATGAACGATTAATGCTTAAATTGCGTCACCGAAGGTATCGTCGTGCAGTATGTTGACATTGTTCCAAAGCAAAGCGTCGATCGATCTCATATCGAAGAAAATCTGGGATAATTCTTTGCCTGGCAATATTAAGGGGATACTCACACCCTCCGAATCAGGAAGCCGTGGACAGTCCTGATCTTTAAATAAATGTAATAAAACATACGATATTTCATTTTATACGACTTTATCAACTTGTATTCGCTATTTAATAAAATCTCGCAATACAATTTGAAGCACAGCATTAAAATCGCTACAGATGTATGTACGTATGTATATATGTTGCATTCGATTTGAATGAGATAAAATGTATCACGTTGACGTAATACGATACAATTTGACGGTAGATAACAAAATTAAGAAGAACAAGATAACGATATTTGCAAATACCTAAAGAGTTAGTCACCAACTATACAATCGCACGATTCAACGTTTAAATTTATATTCGTCTCAACGAATAAAAGAATTTTCATGTACAGTTCTAAAAATCTCTTTGTATGTACCTGTTATTGCTAAATGTACGAGATCTTCTTTACGCGCTGCATCGTGAAGGCTCCACATTTGATAACATGAGGTCACGGATAAAAGCACCGTAAAATCTTTATATGTATTAAATGTAAATAAAATTTGTTAACTTAATTGATTTACGTTTACAGACAAGCTAGATTTAAATTAACCCTTAAACTCCTTTTTGGCTTTCTTTTTTTCAATGCTCTTTCCATTGCTTTTTTGAATAAGAATCATAGTATAGTATCATTATAGGAAAGACCTCTATTATGAGATATCGAGTTCATTTTGGGTAAATGCTAGAAATCTATAGGCAGAATTTAAAAAAATAATAGGTCATTTTGAAGGGAGTTTAATAAACTTTAAGATAACATTATATAAAATTTAATCCATTTTTATTTCATTTTTTTTTTAATTAAAGAAATGTAAAAAGTGAGCAAATTTAATTTTTTCCAAATGATAAAAAAGATGTACAAAACATAACCATTTAAATCTATAAAAAATATATATTAGTATCAACACTTTAAAGAACATTTTAAAATTTTTCTGAATTTTTAAACATCAAGATACAACTTGTACAAGAAAAAATGTCAAAATTGATTAAAGGTATACCACCTTTCCCTATCTTTATATTTTTTACGAATAAGAATCATAGTTTAGCTTCATTAGGTTCTTTAATATGGGATAGGAGAAACAGGACAAGTTGTTACATTTTTTATTAACAATTTTTTTCGTTCTAATGTATACATTTAAATTAACGAATACCTATGCATTGCTTTTCAAGTACATTTTTACCTAGATAGTCAATTTTTTTCTGATTGTCTATGCTTTAAATACTGAAAATTAAGATTTTCTATTGGTAGATAAATTGTAACAACTTACTCCACTGCGAGGCAAGTTCTTACATTTACAATATCATTTAAAATAAAAAAAAACATCAAAATAACAGCGAGAACTTAGTTGCGCACCTAATATATATATATATATACATACATATATGTATAAGCAAATTCAAAACTATAATGAAATCAAACACGAAATAATTCACAAGGAATATTTATTTTATAATATAAAATTTAAAAAAATATATTACAAATTTTTTTTCTTTAATTAGTTATTAAAGTTAATGTCGTTAAAATTAAAAAGTCGTAAAATTAATATTACAAGCATTTACTGCTTTTCTTACAGACAGGTGACCATCTTTAACTTTCTTTGCCGTTGTTGCATACATTTCTACATTTACAGATCCTCTGTCTTTTTTTTTTTTGTAAGATTATATCATTCCACAGACTTTTATAAATAAACTGCTGATTCAATATGATAGAAAGAGAATCTGATTTCGAATCTGATTTCCTATTCTTGTTTCAGTTCGCATATGCGCATTTATGCGTCCTGTTTGTGGATATCGCATAAATTTATGTAAAAATATTATTATCTGTGTGATTTATTTAAAAACATTAACGTTATTATCTGTATGATTTATGCATAAGCAGTGACGAAATAAGACTCTTTAATATTAACAATAAATAAAGAAAAGTACACTGGCAATGAGAGTCAAGCGCAATAATTGGAGCGCAACAAAATTATCAATGATTTATTAATCGATAAATAACAAAGCATCATTCCGAGCCATCATTAGAGAATACATTACTTGTACATGTGATTATTGTCTCAAGCTCCACTTGAAAAGTCATATGTATGTCTCTCACAATGCAAGACCAAGTGATTTTGGATCCTGCAAAACGATACTCATTTAATATATTTTAAAAGAAATTTAATTAAAGAAACTTGACTAAAGAAAGAGTCAAGATTTGTGGTAAAAATCATGATCAGTCGAATTAACAAATTTAAGTATAATATTAAGAAATTTTGTCACAATTAACGAAAATATGTGCGAATTAAACGAATGTTAGAATTAAAGTGATACTTAATGCGAAATCGTATGTGGAGGACAGAACTCTGTTTATATTTTGTTTATTATTGACACTTACGCGTAAAAACTCAGTGTAAGTTAATGCTATACTTCTGTCTTTTTACGACATTTCAGATATTATTAGTCTTTTGTCTAAAAATTTTTCTGTATCAATAATTTTTACGTTCTCTCAATTGAATTCGTGGTTATTGATTCTATGGTCCGTGATTACTGATTTGATCGTCGTGTTTCTATTAATACGATTGCAATATTTAAAAATTCGGGTCTTGAGTTGTTTGAATGTTTGTCCTATGTAGCATCGCAATCATTACATTTTATTTTATAAATAACGTTCATTCTTTTATTTGTTGGGAGAACGTTTTTATAAAATACTTTTTTCAAATTTGTTTTAAATTAAAAAAATGAAAGTTTCATTTTAAGATTGTTTCTTATTTTATTAAAATCTTTCGGATATTCCTGTGAGGTATGATATAACAAATCATTAGTTTATTAGGATTTATTTATTAGGATTAGATCATCTTCAGTATAACAATTATTCATCGAAATTAAAATTGATGTGTTATAACATAATAAGGTAAATGCTGTCAATGAATCATAGGCTGTTGTCCAAAATTAAGAACTTCATTATCGTCTGTACTTAGCGTTATAACGGATCATTGTTATGCTGAGTACATGTAAGTTTTATCCATTTGATATAATCAATTTTAATATTTTGACTACGATTAAAAGTTCATAAATTTCATACATTAACTCGATTTTAGTTAAATGACTGAATTCTTGTTTGAGTATCCAACTAGTACAACATATTGTGTTACAACGCATCAATTTTGATTCCGATAAATAATTGTTACACTGAAGATGACCTAATCCTCGAAACGTTTATAATTGGTGATTGATACGTACATTATTTTTAACTACACACGTACAACTGTGTTGATTCTCAGTGGTCTAGTTTCCACCGAGGATTTAAATCGGATTAGAATGTAAGGACTAATCAACTAGCATTCCCCTGTCGTTCGACTGTAACAGGGGAATACTCGACTGTAGTTGATTGATTCTTCGGTAGAAAGTTGGCCACTGGCTTTATATTTCTTTATAGATTTAATCTTTGGAGCCTTATTTAATTTTAATTTTAACTATACATGGAAGTTGTAATATATTCAAAGCTCTTTCATCCTTGAAAAAGATCATGCAAATTTGTGATAATTTAGTTAGTTGGATCTTTTCATAATAGTCCCGCGAGATAAAACTCAAGAATTTTTAAATATTTTTAACTCGTTTCATCCTAAGGTGCAATTCATCATTGAGGTTGGTGAGAATGAGTTGAATTTTCTTGACTTCAAGATCATAAAAAACAATAACAAAATCGAGTTTGACTGGTATCAAAAAACAACTTTCTCAGGAAGATATTTAAATTTTCACTGTCAATATTCTTTTCCTCAAAAGAAAGATACAATAGACATGACGGACAGATCCTTTTTATTATCGCATCTACGTTATTGTACGTTATTGTTGTTGAAAAAGATTTAAAATTTATAATCGACACTTTTACAAACAATGTCTATCCATTACTAATAATTAACACTATTAACAATAGAATAAAATATGTTAAAAAAGCAGATTAACAACTTAAAAAATAATAATAAAAATAGAAATAAAAATAATGATAACGTTACAAAAAACAAATGATTTGTTGTATCATACACATGAATATTCGAAAGGTTTAATAAAATAGTAAACGATCTTAAAATAAAACTTCCGTTTTTTAGTTTAAACAAACTTAGATGCTTTATAGAAGGACACAAAGATCAACGAATAAAAAAATCAATGTTGTTTATAAAATAGAATGTAATGATTGCGATGCTACATGCATAGGACAAACATGCAAACATCTCAAAACCAGAATTTCTGAACATTGCAATCATATTAATAGAAACACGACAAATCGATAATCACGGATCATAGAATAACAACCACGAATTGGGAGAACGTAAAAATTGACATAGAAAAATTTTTAGACAAAAGAATAATATCTGAAATGTTGTACATAAAAAGACAAAGAAAAATAACATTAACAGTTAAACACTGAGTTCTTACATCACGCATACGTTAATAATAAACAAATATAAACAGGGTTCTGTCCGCCACGATTTCGTATCACTTGGGCTGCGTTCCGTTTAGCACTCACAACGCTCGCGAGCATCGTTTGTGCTTATTTAATATTTAATAAACAACAAGGATAATATAATTCTACGAGCGTTGCGGGCGTTAAGTGGAATGCATCTTTTGACTCTAACATTCGTTTAGTTCGCACGTATCTTCGTTAATTGTGACAAAATTTCTTAATATTATATTCAAACTTGTTAATTCGATTGATCATGATTTCTATCACAAATCTCGGCTCCTTTTGGTAAGTCTTTCTATTAAGTTTTTTTTAAAATGTATTAAATGAGTATTAAATGAGTATCGTCTCGTTGCAGGATCCAAAATCACTTGGTCTTGCAACCATTGTGAGAGACATACATATGATTTTCCAAGTGGAGTTTGAGACAATAATCACACGTAATGTCATCCACTGATGTGGCTCGGAATGATGTCGAAACGTTTGTTATTTATCGATTAATAAATCACTGATAATTTTGTTGCTCTGCATTTGACTCTCATTGCCAGTGCACTTTTCCTTATATATTGATTTATACATGTGAGAGTGAATGAATACAAATATGGCGCTGCCCAGTGCTGTCTTCAAACATGAAGACGAAATCGGCAGTCTATTTATAAAATGTGTATCATTCTATGGAAGAAAAAAAATTGTTTTCAATGGGTAAGTTATTACACTATATAACAATCTGCCCCAATCGAAGTGTAACAACTTGCTTCAATTTTCCATTTTCAATTTGGAAAAGTACAGATCGAAAATCAGTACATAATATTGATTCAAACAAAATGTGTTATTATATCAAATAAATATACAAAAAGATAATCACATACTTGTATTTATATAACTTATATATATATAATAACATAGGCAATTTATACAATGAAATATTTACTTTTAATAGTGAAAATCAAGAAAATACACGTAGCGTTTTTTAGAATTTAAACATGACGGCTAAACTAAGTGAAAGTGAACTTGTAGAGTATCATAAGAATTACATATAAAAATTTATAAAAATGTGTTGCCATCTGTGGCAACTAAATAAAAATTAATTGTAACAACTTATCCCGTATAACAACTTGCCCCAGTACTCTTCCCTATTTTGAAAAACAATTTTTCATTTTTAGCAAAGTTATAAGAATTAAACTATGCTATATTGGGTTATTCTTGTAATATGGTGTTTAAGGGTTTTATGTGTAATAATCCTATACCCAAGAAGAACAAGAAAATCAAAATCAATTTGACATCATATTGACCAAATTTATGTCATTTTTTAGTCATTGGATAAAAATCTTGATTTCAGATGATTTAAGAATGACTTTATACATATATAATTTACCATGACTAAAAAAATTACATAAATTCGTCAGTATGATGTCAAATTGACATTATTTTGATTTTCTTGTTCTCCTCGAGTACTAATGTCTGTATTGTACTTTTATTAAATATATACACGTAATCACATTTGTTATTACTAAATATATTATGAATAGAATATTTCGAAATATTTTGAATGTATAACTCACATAACTCAGTATAAGTAACGCTGAAGCAGACAGCGTCATATAATTGCAATAATATTTATCCAATATATTTTCGTTCTTACCTCGAAGATTATGTACCTTTGTTCCTTCAAAGATGTGCACGTCAATGTCAGCCATATGTATTTCTTTCCTCGTAATTGCCGTAATAAAGTTGTAAATATTTTTTACTGTATCGCGATATTCAGCCTTATTATCGAAAAAACTCTTGTCGATAACGACCGCTGCAAGATTTAAGGAATATTTTATTATAATATTAAAACAGTGCCGACATTAAAAATGATATAAAAGAGGAGAAGAAAGTCATCCATACCCATCGAGGCATTAGTGGACATCAACGATGGAAAGTCACTGAAAGCGTCACCCGAATTTAAGATCCACGCAAGGAAGAAGAAGGAAATCATATTCATTGACAGATCGTATTGAAACCTGTCGCGCAAATTGGTTGATATATAAGCAAGAACATTGTTCAATAATTTATAAGTTTATTACTTTAGCCAATTATTATTATTATCGCATTAACCGGAATTTCGTTAAGCCGGGTCGAAATGCAATCGTAGACTGAGCATACTTCTATTAGAAGTAGTTTGTATCACGAATCAAGAAAAAGGTCGATTCCTTTAATAACTTATCGAGGAGCGATCGAATCTCATCACTGCTTGGAACGGAGTCATCATTGGCCTACATGGACTAGACTGAATTAGAAAAATCATCACTGGAAAATAAAATGCATCAAATATTCAATTGATTTCATTGGCCCGGAAATACTATCCACAGGATGAAAATTGTTTTCTCTATATAGTTATTTTAGATTATAATTGAGCTAAAAGAATTCTCACAACCATTGAATATTGTTTCATTTAACAATGTACTATTGTCTGAAGAATAATTGCATCAGTACTTGCTTTTGATAGAAATGTAATGTACCTTTAATAATTCTAATTAATATTTTTCTTCTTATAATCAATAGTCTTATTGGATATCATTAATTTTTAATGATCAAAAGAAATTTTATTTGTAGACATTGGTAATCTTGATTTAAATATTTAAAAATGCACTTTAAGATGTTTCTATTAAAATTTATATAACTACATTTTGAGTAAAAATATATACAATTATATGTGTATATGTATATTTTAAGTATAACTGTAGATAATGTTATTACAGGGATAGAAATTGTTTATGCGAAAAATAAATTTGTAAAAGAATAAAAACTGTGAAAAGATTTGATCATTTGATACCAAATATGTGGAAAAAATCTTTTACCATTTTTCTTAAGATTTTTATAAGATGTTGTTCTGCTTCTCGTCGGTTTATATTGTTTCTTTTTGTTTTTTGTTTTTTTTTTTAACAGATAGAATTTCTTTTTTAATATTCTTTTTACAATATGAAAAATATCTGTAGAGTAAATAATACACATAAAATATTTATAAAGTAGTCATAATAGTCTTTTAAGAACTTGAAGATTTCATTACTTTTTACCAGAATTAATGTTAAATGTAATAAAAGTAATACATAAAAAGTAGAATATTGTTAACAAAAAGTTAGGCATTAAATGAGTTTTTTATTACTCAATTTTATTATATATTATCCGTAATTACACTCGATATCTTTTAGCGGAAGGCAAAAGACGAGACGGAAAAGTTATATATGCGTTGTGGTCTACCACTTCTCTCCGTCCGATGTTAACATGTGATAAGAACCATCCATTGTCTGCGTTCTATTATAAATGCTTACGCATCAGGAATAAAGAATCGAAGTGTGGAAACGGAAACTTCATTGCAGAAAATTTAAAAACAGTATAATTTTATTTTTAATTTCTTTATACATTTTATTCAATAGAAAAATATAAAAATTTATTTTTATATTTTATTAGGTGTTGGAATTAATTCGTAGCGTTTTTAATGAAAGAATGTTATTTATTTCACATGAGCATTAAAAAATACATTAATGAAAGTACTTCCCATCACTTGTAAAACGCTACGAATTAATTCCAACACCTAATAGTTTAAAAGACTTTATACTTAATAGACTAATATAAAAAATATTTAATACACCATAACAAATACATTAAATATTTGTTACCTACAAATTTTACTCTCGTCCTATTAAATAGTTACTTGATACGCATTACTGCGCAGAATTTTGTACTCTCACTCGTGCCCTTATTAGATAATTACTTGTTGGTAAAATTTCGAAAGATTAATCTTTATTATTTATTTCCCAGCAAACAAGAATGAATTAAAATGGAATCCTATTTAAAATTTTGAATTAAACAGTATTCACAATTGTGTATTTTTACACAATTGAAGAAAAAGCTAATATTATTTTTAGATTAAAAAGCATAGAGATATGCTCCATGCAATTCCTATAAATGAATAAAAATGCATTCGGGATTAAAAAGCATTCATTTTAACATTCGTGAATCAATATTTCTGAAATTCTGAATCCATTTCAATTCATTTCAATCCATTCTCGTTTGTTCGTATAAAACTTGATTTTATCTGTTTTGTCAATTTTAATTTATTTAATTTATATTATTACAGTATGGCAATAGGTAAGCCTCCATAAGGTTTTGTTATCTGAATCCATTCCAATTCATTTCAATCCATTCTCGTTTGCTAAGTTGTTGCAAAATACCAGCAAATACTTCGTTCTCCGCGCGAAGTACATATATACATACACCGGCCACGTTGAGAAGTTGAGCTCTTCGAACGACAGCGATTCGAACGACATCGTGCGTGCGCGCGTGCAGTCCGATCACGGTGTGCTATCCGCGTGTTGATGTACGCAGTGCGGACGGTCAATCTCGCGGACGTGTCCGGCGCAGCCCGTCCTGTCCGTCGTGACGAATTGGGTGTTTGGGGAGTACACTCGAGTACGCTACGCGTACGGCACGGTGCGTAGCGCGTGTGTCGCACTGTGCGTTACGCGGAACGTCATACGCGTCATACGTATACAGTGCGGTATCGGCATACGGAGTATTACGGAGTACTGGCCCTGAATACTGGCTCGTTTGACGATTCTCTCGTTCGCGTTCGCGATAGTCACACACGTTGGCGAAGTGTTATAATATCTCCTCTCCTCTCCTCTCTCTCTCTCTCTCTCTCTCTCTCGCTCTCTCCCCCCGGATGAAATGCCTGGGATGAAATGTCAAGCGTCCTGCGTTACCATGGGCTGAATCTCGACGTGCCGTAGCTGTCAGATATCGCGCGAAGAAGCGAGAGGAACGCGTACCCGGGGGAAGTATTCGGGAGTTAGAGCGACAAGCTCAAGAGACGGGAAGGCCGGAGTGAAAGTGGAAGTAAAGTCGCACGTTCGGGTCTCTTTTTCCCCTTTTCCGTCGTAAACATATTTTTCCCAGCGGACGGGAACGGAACAAAGGGTTTCCATCAACGCGCCGACCCGTGCCGATGTTCGATCGCCAGCGATGGAGCCCGAGGAGCCTCTCATGCAGGGGATACTGCTGCTACCGCCGCAAGGAATGCTAGGCCAGCTCAAGGTTGGTATTCACGACAGAGATAAATTCCGTGGGATGCACCACGTTGACGCGATACGCGATATCACGATATCGCGCGCGACGCATCATTCGTAAACGGCTGTTCCTCTCTTCCCTTTTTTTTTTTCGCACTTCTCTTCCGCTGCTTGACCTGCAACAGGTACACAACGCACGCCACATGCCAACACACTCTTTAAACGGTTATTTGAAATATGCAGGAACGAATTGCATTTTACATTCTGTCGCTCTTGCATTATTTAACTCGGTAATTATTCAGTTTAGCCCTCCTCAGTTTCTTCAATATTTAATCTACATTGATAGAAATGAGTACAAAACTTTTAGAGTGAATCTTACTCTGAAAAATGAAATCTCTTTTAAAGATTGAAGATTGAGCTACTCTTTTTCAAGCTGGCTCAATTTTCATTTTTTAGAGTGAAGATTCCATTCTAAAGAATTTAGAGAGTCGATAAAATATGTTTATTCTGTATATATTTATATAATAGGAAAATTTCAAGTAAACATAAGTATCCATTTGTTTCAGAAAACCTGGCACAAGAGATTCTGTCAGCTTTTCAGAACGAGTAACTACGGAATCAAACGTGTCGAGATCTATGACAATCAAGAAGAAGCGATAATGCAGTCCCATTCTCCACGCATCATCACGCTGGATGCCTGTATAAAAATTGCACCCAGCAATCAGTCGCATGTTTTTATCGTACGTATTTATTCTACCCTTGAATTCATTTCTGTGTCGCTTCTTTATCTAAACAAATTTTTCACTGTTTTTGCTATCTCTAAAATGACAATTTTTCGTGTGTCCATCTCATACACAGGTAGTGACTAAATCAGGAATACACTATTTTGGCTGTTACTCGGAAATTGAGATGACTCACTGGATCACGGCGTTCCAATTAGTCGCATTCAAGGACAGTGTATCGAATCAAATCGAAGAAAATAACGATCTGTATTGTACTAGTGGAGAAGGTGTATTTTCTGTGAAAGTTGTAGAAACGGATGCGTCTAAGCGGTGTGGATTGGAAGCAAGAAACTATACTTTGGTTGTTGCTGCCGTGGACATGAAGCTGATGGACGGTGATATTGTTCTATTCACATGGCCATACAGGTATATCAGGAGATACGGATATAGGGATGGAAAGTTCATCTTCGAGGCCGGGAGAAAATGCGAGTCCGGCGAGGGATCCTTTCGCCTGGAGCATGGTAGCCAACAGGAGATCTTCCGATGTATGTATGCCAAAATGAAGTCCATGAAGAAACTGTTGGACGAAGAAAGTAATCCAAACATAGAATGCAATGACACCCAATTCCAGGCAGCCTTATCTATGGAGCCTGGCTCTAGAGCGGCTTTACCACCCTCTTCAAACAATTCTAGCAATTTGATTGATATAGATTTTTCTACGCAAAGTTCTCAGAAGCCCTTAACTTCGTCATCGAGTATGGATTCTACAATCTCGTCGAGTAGGTCAATAAATAAGTCCAAACCCGCCAAACCACCACGAAAATACGTCTTTCCTAATCTGCTCGAGAAAAAATGTCTCGACTCGACAGAATTCCTAGATTTGCCTACATGCGGAGAATATAGAACTATAAGCCAAGGTAATTCCCCGGAATTATCTCATAAGAGTATCAGCAGTGTTATGCGCGAAAACGAGGAGAAACACTCGTACGATTTAGTAGAAATTAGGAATGACGCTTGGAAGACGCATGGTATCGATAGCGTACATCATACAGAAAGAGTAAACTCGAGTTTACCTAGCGAGAGAGATAAGGAAAATGATAACGACGATTTGCAGTATGAAATTATGATGCCGATACGGAATCATGATGCATTCCAAAATTCATGCAGAAGTAAATGCGGCGATAACGCAATTGTCACGTCATCGACGATACAAAGTGTTGCCAAGACAGACGAGTCGGATTACGATAAATTAGAACACTTTGGATCCGCGACGAAACTTAATCAGAAGTCTACATACAAGTATACGAATTCCTCGCAAAGTATACATTCCAATGTCTCCCACGGGGAAAGTTCTAATCTTGTTAATCCGACGTGGTCTAATTACGAGCTCGTCGAAGATATGTCCGCTATCAGGCTAGCCGACGACAGCCATCTCGGTTATGGAATTATCCGGAAAAAGCCGGATCTTTCCGATACAACTTCCACGGGTAATACTGCGGGTGGTCCACAGCATAAAGTTTTCAACAACAGCGAATATGCAATTGTATCGAAACCAAAAAGGGTGTAAAATACCCATACATTCGAGTATCCTTTCAAAATACGACGACCATGCCACAAAAATTCGCTTCTACAAAATTCTTATCTTTTTGTAATTATTTGTAAGAATATAAAGAATATGCTAGTCTACACCGCGTGTGGTGAGAATAAAAGTATTTCTCTTGCTTTATAGAATGATTGACACGCGTTGCAAAATGATAAAAATAATTTCATTATTTTCGCATTGTCACATTTGTCCTATATTTTTATTCTTTTTTATTATATTTTTAGAAACTAGTCTTAATTGCTATTATAGATACAATGTCTAGGAAAGTATAAACGTTCAAAAATTCTATAAACATTTGTGCCTTCGTATGAAATATATTTTAGTATTGATTAGGAAAGCTCAAAGTGATTAATATTTTATCTGCATTCGACTGATTTATCAAAATACTTGTATAGTGCCTTATAGAAACAAAAATGTTTTAATTAACGCCAAAATGACACTAAATCGTTATAAACGTTGCAACCGCGTTAAAGTCTTTTGATATTGATATTATATGTATCAGTGTACTTAGAAATTTATTATTATATATATTACATCATTTTTTATTGCTACTATTATGTCTATTTTCAACTGTATCACTGTTATCGCTATTTAGATAATTCATGTTTATTATTGTATCTCTATAAACAATTCAAAAATACGTTTATTTTCTATATAGGCATATGTTATAAATTTGATGATTTATTTAAACAGTGAAAAACTATTGATATATAAATATGTACATAATTTGATACAAATGCTTACATAAAGAGATAATTAACAGATCATCACAATTGATAAACTTATAGATATTTAATATTATATGCTGCCGTAATTTTATATACATATATTGTATATGCATTATGAATATTAGTGCTTTCATCGGCGAATCGATCATGTGCCTTAATGTAGATATTAATTCCTATGAAAATCATTATATTGGATTTGAAAGATCCAAAATGTTAAAAGTACAAAAAAATTTTATTATGTACATTACAAATATATATCTATGAGGCAGATGGGCTTTTCATTCATAAGAAACCACTATTATTCATTATGCTTAAATTAATGACTACAAATATGCAATAATGGTATAAATAAGAATAAATACCTACTTTTATATTTTTTTCTATTTGTAAAATCTTTTTACAAAATTGTATAATAATGATTTTAAGTATCATAATGATTTTAAGTATCATAATGATTTTAAGTATTTGTTAAAAAGCCATTTGTAATAATATGTCCTTTGTGCCAAACAAATGGTCTACCATTGATTGAAATATCGATTTATATATATAAATAGACAATTATTCATAAGAATTACGCCAATCGATAAATTCTAAAATATATTGAACAGACATGTAAGATAAAAATTATTTTTTAGAACAAGTATTGTTAGACTATTTCTAGCAGATATAAAAGTATATTTAAAAAACTATATACATGCATAAGGTTGATTCTTACATGTGTAATCTTCTACTTCTTTTGTTTTTCAGATACCAATAATGTAAAAAAAAACTCAGTAAATATCAGTAAATATCAGTAAATTTGAATCTACAGATGAATTTCGTTGTTTTAAAATGATGTTCCAACCAGTGCGACAATTCACTTATAATTCATAAATGTGATTTTTCAGTGTATTCTGCATTTTTAAAACAACTTGCATACATTTTGTAGCTATATTTATTAACGTTACATATTATAAACGTACCAATTCTGCAATAAATTTATAACAGAACATTTTGTACTTGCCTATACTTATATTTTACTTTTGTTTATAGGATAAAGACTAGCATTCAAAAGGAATTTTAGTTTCCCTGTGATTTGTCAATTATTTTAATTTTATCAGAGCATTCATCGTCTGGTTTTATATCAGCATCCTTATTCTGTAACTTGAACTCCTCCTTCAAAACAGCCTCGTAATAGCCATCCTCATCATTCATTATCTTTCGCACAGTCTCCCCTTTCAGTTCCATGATTTTTTCGATGTTTGTTCTTTTACCAATTTCTGAGAACCATCCTAAATTATCAGCAATAAGGTGATTGTTCTTGCAACCTTCGCATCTCACTATTACTACTCCTTTATTATAAGCCAGCTTCGATATCAGCTTGCTTGTTCTGGTTTGGCATTTCTTGCATGTAAACATTAGCTTCAGCTTCCCTTTTAATTTGCCCAATTCTATGCCACTGTTTTCGTGAGTAAATCGCATTTGATGGAATGCTCCAATGCTGCTCGGTTCACGCAAAACTGGAGCGTGACAATATACTGCATGTCGAGTGCATACTACACGTGCACCAAGACGTAGAACCTGTCGAATGGGCAGCATCTCGAGCTTACGTTAGAGTTCCTCTAGGAAATACTAGCTTGCATATCCAACGACGTCGCACCACGTTCTGTCGCGTGGTTTTCGTAGCGTAAAAATAAAATAAGCTTCGCACGTGTCCGTCAGACTGCCAGGGTTGTTGAAATTTTATGACGTCTACACCGAGAATCTGTGAACGAATTAAACGACTGTGCTTATGACTGATTCCACGACCAACATTGCATCATATGTTCCCTTCAATCACCAGAAACCTCGTGTTTTCGAAATATCGCAGTAAACAATTCTGCCGGTCTTAGAAGAAGTCTGTTCCTTTCAGCCATCTTCAACTGAACTTTTTGCACCGTTTATCTGTCTTTCTTTTCCGTCTGTATTGGAGAGAAAAGGAGAAAACATCAACAGTGTAGTTCTGAAAAAGTTCAGAGGGTCGATTCTGTATCTTGAAACGAGATGAAAATTACAGAAGTGAGCGAATTTACTAGAATACTGATAATTTCATTGGTCAACATCTAGTAAATTTGTTTGAAGATATAGAGGGTATTACATGAAACTTTATTTCTAAGATGGAAAGTGAAAAGTGAAAATTTTAACCATTGAAGTTACTAGAGAAATTTTTGACTTTTCATCTTAGGAAAAAAGTTTCATGATTGATACCCAGAATCGATCCCCAGCTAAAAAGAACAGATCTATGATATAACCTCATAATTTTGAAAAGATTAAATTATTAAATATGTAAACTCTGATGTAAACCGATTTGCTCTGAGTTACATCCAGTATTGCACTAGTTTTCCTACTGAAATTATTGTATTAAAAATAGGAAATAGGACGGCGATAGTAATAATAATGCGTTCGCAAAACTATTCGCTTCCATCCGCCAATCGAGCGGGAACTCAAGAAATCCGGAGTTGCGTTCAAAAACTCATCCAATTATAATGTATTAGATGAGCAGTGGATGTAAACAGAATTTCATTTGAACAGTCGTTGTAACGTAAATAATTGTATTGTAACTGTCATCACTTAGATTACGCAGGGCGTAACAAAGTGGACATACCAATCGAATATTGCGTCGCAGGAAAACCCACGAAATCGCTGAGGACTGTTATTTCGACGTGAATATTCGAAGCGCAAAGTGACGCGCATATCCGCGTCATAACCTACAAGCTTTTGTTGACGATAGACGCTAAAGCGATTTATGAGTATTAAGGCGGGTTAGATGTTTTCGTTCGACTGTTACTCGCCACGTGCACCGAACAAAGAGAATTTCCAGGACGATTGAACGCGCCGGAAGGACTCGGGGATGACAGGCCGAGGGTGCGAGAGAATGTATCGTAGACAGTTAGTATTATTAGTATGGAATACGATTCGGAATCTAGCTGCGAGGGCCGTTTTCTGAAAGACTTGGAGAATCTGAACGAACCAGCATGCGAAAAATGCAACGACGCCCCCGTCTTGTGCCATTCGCCGTCGCCGCCGGTCGAACCGTCCAAATTCAGATCGCACCTCTCCGGCAAGAAGAGTCTCTCCGCGCAGGTAATGGAATATTATCGCAAGTATTCCCGAGATGCCAATTTGGATCAGTATTTCTCGCTACCTATGTCGAATACTCCGCAGGAGGCTATTAAGAATTATTACAGCTTGTATGAATTAAACGCCCAAGTGGGTACATCCAGCAGGCAGGGCTGCGTTGGAGAGGAGTACAATTTGAAACCCTGTGTATCAAAAGAAAGGCGTAGGTGGATAAGACCTCCGTTGATCGGGCAATCCTCGAACACAGATCATTCTCTGGATCAGGCTTCATCCAGGTATGTTCAACCGTTGACAGATATTCAGACACCATCGCCAGATCTCAAGGGCATTACACCAGAGACGATACATGAGGAGAGGAACGAGAATCAGGAGAAGTTTCCGGAGGTGAACGAGAGAAAGCTGTCCTCTCCGACCTCCAGCGTGGCATCTTATAAACCATTGGAATGGGACAGCGGCGCAGACGTCGGTTACTTCAATTCACATGCTCACAATAAGCAAGGCAATAAAAAGTTGAGCACCATAGAACGTATGGCTCTAGCACGAGGATGCTCCGCTGCCTTACGGTTAGACCCGGAGGGTACCACTGAATCAGGGATGCAATCCGGGAAGAACGCGACGGTACAGAGTGGTTCAAAATCCATTGCTCCCGATGCGAACTCCACGCCGTTAATCGGAAATGTTTCGGGATCGGAGAGCGAGATAGAGATAACACCTATCGTAAAGAATCATTTGCCAGGCATTATAACGGGAGATGACATAAAGTCGCAAGAGAGATGCGTTCCATGTAACTCTACGCAATTGAAAGCTGTAGTAAGGCCTACCAGATTGGAAATACACGACACTCCCACGTCGGCGTTTAAGGTTCCATTAGCAAAATATTCGATTACGGTGGAGAAAAGGATTGTAAATAAACGCAAGGAAGTCATTTGTCCATTGAGTTCGCCATTGAAGAAAAGCATCTCGATGAATGTAATACCCCCGTTATCATTGAAATGCTCGTTGAAGAGGAGCCAGAGCGAAGTAAATCTTCACGTTAAAGAAAGGAAAACTGTATTTCCTTTAATCTTTAACTCCACGTCCTCCATCTCTACCGTAGTGAATAAACCCGCCACTTGCGACAAGGTGATACAAACGAGTCCTGATGTGTGCACTCAGGAATCCATTGGCGTGCAAGTTTCGGATTTTGAAGAAACGAAACCGCCGACAGCGGAGAAGAATCCTAATGTGCAAACGGCTATACATTCTATTTTGAAAAGGTCTAAAGGTACATATAAAGTTAAAAATCCGAGAAAATGCGATGTTTCGCGTTCGGCAGGCAATGCCGAGATCAGCGCGAAGGAGTGCCAGAAACGTCGAAATAGCTCGGACATCTCCCAGAACGCATCCACCTCGGCGACACCACAGCCTGACGAGACGGAAAACGTATCCGGGAGAGCCAATAGTTTCGAGTATTTTCCAGGACACACCTACGCAAACGTCCCAAATGAAAGGGACAGTCACGTTTCCTCGGACACCGGTAGATCGAACTCGACATTGCCAAACAGCAGTTCCAGTGTCAACGATAAGCTCTGGGGAGATTCGGACAGCTTGGTTCGAGATTTGGAGAAAAGTGTCAACATCTTGAAGAGTCTCGTCGACGCTAATAAATGCGACAAGCAGATCAAGAAAAGACTGATACACCACGTGATTAAGCGACTCATAACTGCGAAATATACAGACGACAAAATAGAGCATAATTTGGAGGATAACGTTCCTTGGAATCCGGACGATGCCAGGAATAAGATGTACCGAGCTGAATTACTTCAGGCCCTGACGAACAAGCATAGCACTACCGAATCCTCGGATGAATGGAACGTGCAGAAGAAGAACGTGTCTATGCAGAAGTCGATGGGAACTACCAGTGATGTCATAAAGGAAGTCGCGTTAGAGAGTAGTAATAGCGACAAGTTTGACCGACATACTGATAGAACGGAAATGGACGGTAGGAAAGCGCGATTAGGACTGAGGACGGATGATTGTCAACAGACTAGCAATACGCTAACGGATCCTGATAAGAGCGAGAGCTCCGAATGCTTTGTGCCTCAGCGCAATCATAAGAACACTAAGGTAAACGACATATTTTGTTTCAAGGAGAACTGCAAACACAGAGAGTCGACCACGACGAACAGTATACCACCAGATCACAACAGGATCTTACTGGATGCCGTCGTAAATAACAGAAGAACGCCAGTTGAGTCCAACAATAACACGGATAATAACACCGACTGGAGATTACCGACGACGTCGTCTGAAAGACAATTTGAATTGAAAAAGTGCAGCATGTCCGAATCCGATGATTCCAAGCTCGTTAATTACGCCGAAATGGAGAAGAGAAATCAACTTATTTGGATTACAAACGAGATTAGTCATCTCTGTAATTTAAAAAAGTATATATTATTCTTTTTTAACTTTTAACAAACTCCTGTTTTTAACATTATATCTTTTAATTTGGATTTCATTCTATTTGTTAGATTGCTGGAACAACCCAGGCGATTGGAAAGACCAAAATCCTCGCCAAGAAAATCTAAATCGGCGAATCTCAAGCCAAAGCAAACAGCGATACTTAGGCGGGAACAACACGCGGATGCCATGCATAGGTAACTCGTATTTGTTTATGATATATATTGTAATGATTGTATAATCTAAACCAATATTTATAGTCCCGTCTTAAGGTGTTAATACGACTCTGTGATTGATTTATGATATCTTAGGATTGTACTTATTAAATATAAGAACCAGATGATATTACTATGAATACCAACTATAATGTAATGACTGTAATTCGTATGATCTAACATCGTTTAATTTCATGTTCTCAGGAACATATCTGATTTGCGAGAAGATTCTGTTAACGAGCCATGGTCGTCTCACTGCAATTTGGCAGCGTGCGAAACCCCTGGCGATAATATGGTTCAGAGGATCATGAAACGCAACAGTTGCACGCAAACGGCCATGGGCGTGGCTAATGCTTATTCGAAGACTGGCGGGGAGATCGTGTCTGCTGGCAGAACGCGGAGATGTACGACAAAACATATCGCTGTCGGTGTGCAGACGCTACCTCGGGAAATGTCATCAACACCGATGACGACAGAGTCCGACGTATACGATGCGAAGTATGCGAATCTTCAAAAACCGTGCGTGCATTATCAAAACGACACCAAGTGCAGAGATCAGTCGTGTCAAACGCACTCTACCCCGATTGTACAACGGACGTGTGCACGATGTAAACAGAATTCGTTCGAGACGGCCTTGATCAGATCGCGAAAGAATCATCAAGAAAACGTGCCGGCCATTTCGCAGCAGACACAAACGAATTATGCGAGCAACAACAGCACGATGGAGTCAGTTCATCATCGTATATCGCAAAGTAGTAGTGTCCAGCCGAAACAGAAAGAGGCTAAGAATCAAATCAATGCGTCAAAATCAAAATGTAATTGTGCACATGGTGTTTATTCGTCCATAGCTGATAACAAGGGCGGCTCGAGCACTGTTAAAGTCAAACGGACTGAATATTATAAACGACCGTTTACGACATGTCCATTGTGTTTTAAACAGAAGCCTGTTATAGATATTAATAATACCATCTGTAGTGTATGTCAAAA